TGACAGTGGGTCCCAGGGGAGACACTTAACTTCTTAGAAATATCCCACTGAAAGACTCAGGCGCTGCAGTACCGTCTGGATCACAGAAAGGCAAGGCAGGGGCCTGACGAGATGACTCTGTGATTCAGTGAGCTTACTGCTCTTGTAGAGGATGGGGTTTGGTTCCCTGAACCCATTCTGCAGCTTGTAACTCTTCTGTAACCCCAGCTGCAGGAAATCCAATGCCCTCTTCTGGCCACCATGGATGCCTGGCATGCACATGGTACACATGCATACATGCAGGCAAGCATTCATACACATAAAATAGTTTTTTAAATTTTTTTTTTAAAGGGAGACCATGCTGTCACTCTTCTTGCTTGAACTGGGTTCTATCTAAATATTCTATTATCCCTCCTGCCTATTTACAGCAGACACTTCTGACAAGAATCCACCTGCCTGTGTTGCCAAGACCTTATCAGAGACAGGGCTGTGAAAATATGCGTATTTCCTGCCTGCTACCTCCCTTCTAGCTCCACACACTGGGGCTCTATCCACGGAGGCAGCTCTGATCTGTAGGAATGCTCTGGCTGCCTGCCCTGGCACTGAACTCTCCTGGGTGGAGCAGCAGGCTATGGGGTGCAGAGTCTTGACTCTGGAATGTATTTCCTCATAGAGGTGCCAAGGCCTACGCTTGGCAGATTCTAAACACAATGACCTTTAAGCTACCAGACATTTATTATTCTTGACTGAGAGATGAATGCAAGGTCCTCTGAACTCAGAGAGCTGGGGTGTAGGTGAAGTAGGGCGTGTCATCTAATCAAACTGAATTGTTTTCTCTTCCAAAGGAACAAAAGAACATCTTCTAAAGCAAAAGGTGCATTGTAAGCTAAAATCGCAAACTGACAAGAACTAACCCTCTCTGGTCTATCGCAACCTATTAATTACGCAAAACTGTGACATGACAAGGTGGGAGTATATGCTGATAATTCCAAAAACCATAGTTCTGAAACCCCAGTGAGCATGTTAAAAGAATTCAATCCATAGAAAGCAACAGTCGGCCTTATTACAATAAAAAGAACCTTTGTCTTCTCTAACCTATAACTCCACTTCTGCCAAACACAAGGAGTCTTAAAACAATAACTCTGTATTTTAAAAAGTTTTACACTTGGTCTGGTAGAACAGCCCAAGGCCAGCCAGAAAACTTAACAAGATCCTGATCCTAAAAAAAAAAAAAATACATTTTTTAAAAAAAATTATGTTTTAATTATATGTAGGTGTGTTTGCACGTGGCCTTGGAGTTGGAGTTACAGGTTATTGTGAGCCACCTGCCACAGGTGCTGAAACCCTAACTTGTGTCCTCAGGAAGAGCAGCAAGCACTCTACTAAGCCACTCCTCCAATCTTTCAGAATAAAAATTAGAAAGAAACCTGGGGATATAGATCAGTGGTAAAGCATGCACCCAGGTTCAATACCCAATACTGGGGCGGGGGGCAGGGGGAGATTCAGTTTCTGCTATTTTTGTCAAAGTTTTCAAATATTTTAAATAACTATAGCAAGGTTATTTATTAAAGAAGTACTATTGTTTCCTTTAGCCAGTGAAAATTTGTAAGCTATTCCCCCTCAACTCTAGGGATAAAATCCAGGGCCCTGATACACTTTACCAAAGCACTGTATCCCAGCCTAGTTTAAATAAAAAATCAAATGAGAACTATTTCTTTCCTAACCAGTTAGTAATGACTGAGTCCTAGCAACTGAGATTTGAGAGAAAGGCTGAGCTGGGGGAACCAGTGAGGGAGGAGAGATGCAGGCTGCTGACAAGATGGAGTCTCTGGTTGGGATTCTGAGCCTAGGAGGCCTTATTGTAGATCCATCTGACTCCGTCTCTCTCAGAGAAGCTTTACAGAGATGGTCCTCCTCCACAGGGTCTGGGGGCAGGGGCTTGAACAAGAAAGTTCACAGTGATGATTGAGTGTAAGGACTAGAGAACGCTCTTCAGATGTTCACTTCAACTTAGGAGGCCAGCACCACTCTTCTTTCTCAGGAGTGCATCCACTGGAAAGCAGTCCTTGCTCAGTGGGTGATCCCACATGCACATGCATATGAGCACATTCCTTAGACTCAGTGAGTTTTAAAAAGTGACAAAAGAAACATAAAAAGAGGACGTTTGCTTATTAATCATAAACACGGGACAGGCAGCACAATGGGAATACATACACCTCACATAAAAAAAAGAATTATAATAAAATAAAACATAAGACCAGCAGTTACAAACTGGAAGTTTATGCCTGAGACACTGACTTACCTGAATTACTATGTAATTGTAGAAAAGCTCTCTGGGTGGACTGGACTAGCCCAGTTCTCCTTGTTCGCACTTTTCAAAACTAACTGTTAAATATGTAGGAAATGTCATAGGCTGAGTTAGGAAGCATCGGACACACCCAGCCCTTATTCCTGTGGCTCCCAGGGGAGGTGACATAGTGAGTCAGAAAAAGTTCTTCCAAGGACAGCTGAGATCTTCTCCTCATCCCGAACACTCGATGCCTGTCAGGCCATGTGAGTACAGAATACAAGAGCTACATTGCCTTTTGGAGTCCCTCGGGTGTGGCAGAGTGAAGAAAGATCAGTTCAGATTCTACCTGCCCCGGGAAGCTGCGTTAAGCACTGAGACAGCAGCTCACAGGGGATGCTAGGCCCTCTTACCCTTCTCGCCCTACTTAAGTAGTAAGTAATACATCCATGTCATGTGACTGTCTCTGTGTGTTCTGTCTCACCGGACTCATGGTAAGCAGTAAAATCAGGGTACAGCGGACCCCTTCCACAGTAAACTTGACCCGCCTTTGGAATCGTACAGTCCTTTTCAGTGAAATGGGGGTCATAGCAAGGTACTCTTACAGCAAATCTAACTTGTGGTTTATTTTCACCACTACAGAATCGTTATAAAGGATTGTGTCTTCGAGACTAATGGGAGGAGGAGACCTAAGTCAGGCAGATTAGACTGACTTTAGCAATGGTAAATCAGGCACCACTCCTATATCCAGGAAATCACACAACAAACTCACTCACTTCCTTCATGGGCTTGGTGTGAGGACAGAACGAAGCAGTGAGTGTCAAGTGTTACATCAAGTCGGGCTCAGTGGCAAATCCCTTTTAATTCCAGCATTTGAGGGGCAGTGTCAGGCAGGTTTCTTTGAGCCAAAAGCCAGCCTGGTCTACATAGTGAGTTCCAGGACAGCCGGGCTATAAAAGACAGAGGGTCTGTCTTAGAAAGAAGTAAAAGAAGGAAGGAAAAGAAGGAAAGAAAAGGGAAGGGAAGCAAAGGAAAGAGGTGGGAGACAGACAGACAGACAGGCAGTCAGGCAGGCGGCACCAGCTCTCACACAAAGGCTAGATGTTGGTTCTTAACAACTTATTTCAAAGAATATAGTAGACTCCAGAGTTTCTGTCCATAAATAGAAAGCCCTCTCCCTATCTCCTTATATCTCCTAGGACATGCTTTCCTCTGCTGTAAAAAAGAAATGTGCTTTTATCAGTGCGCTGCCTTGCAGGGCTATGATGAGGCTGGAAGGAGATGCTGCATGTGTGAGGGCTCAGAGAGGACCACACAAGGCCTGGAGAGGTGTTTGGCAAGAAACTCCTGTGAGCTTTGAGTACCAAACACTAAAACTGACTGACTAGGTGGGTTTATTAAAGACATAGTATATATTAGCAATATAAAATAGCTAAACAACACAATGTCCACCAACACCCACATAGAAAAAACTGATAAGCATCAGGGTGCATACTTAGCCCTTAGTGCTCTATACAAAGCTGATACAAAGAACCAAGACCACATCCCATGGCCTATTCACACAACATTAAAAACATACAATTAGACGTGCTCAGAAAAAGGCTTCACATGCAGCAAAGTTACAAAGCAGAGTAAATAATTACCATGAGTTAAACACGATCTCTGACCCAGAAGACGGGATGCAGATGGTATGACTAGGGAGCCGTAGACGATTCTGAGCATTGCTACTGTGGCTAAACGTCACACGCATACAGATACCCATAATCAAGTATGTATGTGCATCTGTGATTTCATGTACTTCCATATTATGTTTCATAATACAAATAAAGAACAGTAATTATAAAAAGCTGTTCTGGGCTCCTTGCAATTATATCAACAATGCTTTATTATATTTTTAAAAAAAAACCCTTTATTAGAAGTTATTTTGGTTCAATCTCAGAGGCACTAAATTGGTAAATTATTCACTTAAAACTCCTCCAAAAACAAAGTTTAATCATTAAGGAAGACGTAGGAAACTATTCAAGGGACTATTCCACCTGCTCATTGGTTATTACTGATCCCAGCGCTTGGGCGGTAGAGGTGGAAGATGAGGAGTTCAAGGCCAGCTTTGTGTACATAGTCTAGGCAAGTCTGAGCTATATTTTGCATTCCTCCAAAATACAGAAAATAACAATAATAATGTTAAGTAATAGTAATTACTAATTGTTCGAAACTTTCCAGAATCAAGCCAACATTTCTAGCGTTAGCAGCAGAGAGACTGGAGCTGCGGAGAGGGCTGGATGGCCACAGCGTTTGCAGTATACACAGTATACGTGTGAGAACCTGAGTCACAACCCTCTGGCCCCAAGGAAAGGCTGGGTGTGGTAGTGCACCCATAACCCTTTGTTCCTACAGTAAAATGGGAGACAGAGTCAAGATGATCACCAGAAGGTCACAGGTTGGCAAGCCTGGTATATGCAGCTATGAACAACCAGAAAGAGACCCTGTCTCAAACAAGACAGAAAGCGAAGACCAACACCCAAGGTTGTCCCAACCTCCACATGCGAAATGCCATGTGTGCAGCCTCATTCACATACAAAATGTTAGCATATACATACACACATACAAACATGCGTTTAGTGTGCTCAAAATAAAAGGACTGCATAACTTGAGTCACCACCTGAACGCGTTTCACACACCAGCCTAAAAGAAAATGCTAGACCACTTGGATGTCCTGGGGTTCGAGACTACTCACCAGCGGGCTGAGTCTGTGCTACCCTCTTGGGGTACGTCTTGCTTCGACTTCTCACCACGTTCTGATTGGGCCGGGGAAGTTGGATAGAAAGATCTCGGCTCATTTGCAAAGCTGTCCTGCCACTTGAAAATGCAACACGTTGATTAGCAAAAGTAAAACCGTATGGCCTTGGAGTTAAACACAGTCCAGCCAGAGTGTCTTGCAAAGAAAAAGAAAAACAACAACAACAACACAGATTCAACAGGCCGTAAGCATTCGGAGGTTTTTAGTTGATGTCCATTATACTACTACCAAGAAGGTGTCACTAGACTAAGGCAGGGAATTATAGCATCTGAGAAGAAGAGCTTGCTGAGGGACCAGAGGGAGGGAAGGTTTATCAAAGATGGGCTCAGGGGAGGAATGGGCTAAAAACAGACATTACTGATGGCCTTGAGGTCCACAGCCAAAAACTAGACAAGTCACGGTGGTGGTGGGGGGACCATGCAAGGGGTAAAGACAAGACTGTCTCACGCTCATGCAGCAAGTGAGAAAGTATCAATATTAGTGGATTTTTTCTAAGCTCTTGGGCACAGTCAGTCATTTATCATATCTCTTCGCTTAACAAACCACGTGTCCAGGTAAAGAGAACAGGTCTGGAAGCCAACACAGGCCCGACCCTCCAGAGATCCTGTGAGGACTTGGAGCCTAAGCTTCTTTCTCCCCTCCTTCCCTCCCTCCCCCCCCCCCCCACACACGCACGCACACACGCACATAGTCTTACATATTGACTGTTTAGCCTCCAACCAGTGGCTCCGAATAAGAGGTGACTGGGTTGTGAGGTCCATAGCCTCAGCAGTGGATTAATCCATTGGTTAGTTATGGCCCAACAGACTGCTAGAAGGTGGGGGTTAGCTGCAGGAAGCAGGTGAACCGAGGTGCCTTTCAAGTGAATGTGTACATATCGGGACCCAGATCTATCTGAGCCCTCTCTTCTTCCCTTCCCGCCCCCTTCCTCTTTAGCATGAGCTCATCAGTGTGTCCCACCCCACACTCCCACTTCCATGATGCTTCCATCAAAGACCTAAAGCAATGGACCCAGCTATCCTTCAACTGAAATCTCTGAAACTACAAACCAAAATAAATCACTCCCCATCCAGCTCGGAGGCCATGTGCACAGGCTCTTTTCCTGAAAAGCATTAAAAATTCCATAGAGAGACAAGACATTCTCCGTTATTATTTAGAACATGAATATTGTAAGACCACCTCCTGTAGATTTTATCTAGTGTCAAAAAGGCTTGGACAGTGTATACCTCACTGCACAGAGGAAAAACCATTTGTCATAAAAATATAACTAAATATGCAGACCACTGGGACATTTTATAATGAGATTATACTTTCTTATTCAATTTTTCTTCATAGTTTCTCTCTCAGGAACAAAGTAATAAGAAAATAACATCCCAAGATTAATAAGACTAAGGTCCAGAAACATCAGCTAATCTACTACAGGCTACGCAAAGCCCAGGGCTGGAACTGGCCTCAGGCTCCCCGTCTGGTCAGTACAGAGCAGGCTGCAGACACGGAGGAACAGAACACTTAGCTGTTTAATTTCAAACTCCAAGCCCCATGGAAAACTCAGCGCTGCCTTTTCCTAGACATTTCATCTTTGAAGGTTTGTTTGTTTGTTTTTAAACCTCTACAGCATGCTTTCTCTCATCTACACTACACTGCACCTCTTTTCTCTGTGCTTCTAGTGATGGTATGCACTTATGAAGTACCCCACCTCTGTGCCCCCCTCACCCTAGCATTGTGTCTTCTCTGTTCTGGCTGGCAAAGCCACAGTTACTTCAGCATCAAAGTTACAGAGAGGCAAACGGGGAAAGTTACATGGCCTTCAGATTCCAGATTTACTGTTCTCGGGCCTTAGCTTAATTACTTTCCCAGGGGAGCACTCCAATTTCTATTCTATAACTGAGATACCTCTTTGGGCCACCATGCAGATCAAATGAGCAGTGCCTTGGAAAACACCTGACACCGAGGAGGAGATTCTGAGAACCGGGTCTCTTCCACGTCATGAAATCTGAGAGCTCCTATGCTTCAGGCCTACAGAGAGGACTCCGCTCCTCAGGCCTCCTATGAAATTCCTGCAACTTGTCCTTTCAAGGAGCTTAGCAACAGATAAGGGGGAAAGCTAATTTTCAAGGGACTCTAAAAAGGAGATATCAACATGTAACAAAATACTTAGTCAGATTTAATCAATCTTCATTTAGATTACTGGTTCCTCAAAATAAAATCAAAAGAATCAATGCGGCAGACTTCAGCTCAGTCTTCTTCCCAATTTAATTTTGAGACCTGACTGTCCCACATCACTTAAAAATGTTTGGCTTTCCCTTCTTAAGTAGTTTTTCTTCCCTTCGTAACTATTCTATAACTGAGATACCTCTTTGGGCCACCATGCAGATCAAATGAGCAGTGCCTTGGAAAGCACCTGACACCGAGGAGAAGATTCTGAGAACGGGGTCTCGTCCACATCGTGAAATCTGAGAGCTCCTATGCTTCAGGCCTACTATGAAATTCCTGCAACTTTTAATTTTCCTAAGAGATACAAGAATCAACCTGGCCTTTTTTAAGCCCTAAGACAGAAGTGAGAGTAAAGTCTGGAAGCCTGTTTTCCATTATTTACATACACAGCACAAGGGCCCCTACAAGAACCACACACACACACACACACACACACACACACACACACACATGCTCCTGGGACATGGCTCCTTTACCTCCATCTCACAACCTGCAAGAAGTGACTATTGTACTCCAGAACTATTTCAGGGTATCTCCAGATTACTTTAACAAAGAGCCAGACACATGATACTGGTTAAAAGGATGTTAGTTTGCCAACTCTTGTCACTAAACAGCCTACATTGGTGAACACCCAGCAATCAGAGACCTGTCCTGCCTGACCTCTGACCAGACAGATGAAATACCTCTTTCCCACAGGTGGCATTAAAGTCAGTGCTTCCTACACAAAAATAGATTTGGGTCTCATTAAGATTTAACAGGCAGTTAACATTAGCCATGAAATCCGAGCAGATTTAGCCGAGCGTCCAATTTCTGCAAAGGTTACCTTTAATTGCTTTCTTGGAGAAAAATTTTATTTAATATGCAAAATCCAATAAAAATAATTTCTAATGGTGATTCTCACTAGCCATAATATTTGCATTTCAATACATTTGAGGAATCAGGTGTGGCTACATTTGCAGAAGCCAGCTACCTCCAGCATGTGTTAAACAGCACGACTATAACTTTAATCATCTAAACACTAATAAGACAGATGTCTTCACACTAGCTGCAGTCAGTTGACAAGGAGACAGATTTAAGTGTGTTCTCTCTAGCCTTGACAATACCATGATTGGAAAAACAGCACAAATACTAGTTACTACCCATTCTTCTTAGAATAAAAGTAAGTACTATTTTCTTAAATATCTCATGATCATATTCTTGTCTAAGGAAGAGCTCTGCAAAGCCAAAGGCTAAATATTTACACCTCAACAAAAACCTTCATACAAACAGAAGTACCTCGAATAAATGATACATTTTTTTTTAGCCAATAAGAGAGTAAATACCCTACTAGATACCATGTTAACAGGACATACTGGACATCTACTGTTGATCATTCTTACTGGTTGTCTCTCAGATTTGACACTTCAAAATGGGTCCTTAAAAGAGAAGACTTAAGATCTGGCATACCATAGTCTTATAAACCCAACTTTCTTTTTAAAATCTCCCATGTAAGTATTTCACCCACTGATGTCCCTTATCAGCAGAGGGAGTAGCCTCCTATCCCCAGGTGGTGTTTCTACACCCTGCTTGGCTTCCCCAGGTCTGGCGGCTTGCTTCTCTGCCTGAGTCATACTGCATCTCTTTGATGGCAGTGTGGTTCCAACTGAGTCTTTCTATATCGGGAGCCCTAAAGACATTCCTCACACACCACAGCTCTCCACTGAACAGAAGGAACTCAACTAAAACAAATGCTTCTTCAAAATACAGAGCTCAGTCCCACTTTTAAGGTGGGCATTGAAGAAAGAATTAAGCACCTAGCTGCATGGTGGTCAAAGTTTTCTCTCCACAGGCTGAACCTGTAGGTAATAGCACAGAAGACTGTGATGACTAACAGAAGCAATATTACGCATTAAACAACAATGGTTTAACACTAAACAAGGTTAATATGTAATTAGCAGTACTATAAGCAGGTTTTATACTTATGTAAGTTCTGTATGTAAAGACATGTTTTGATGTAGAATATAAATGATATGCTGTGTTCAATATGGGATCCACTGAATACCCTAACATCACAACCAGTCAGTCACAATCCAGAATATCTGCTTTGTTTTATAATCACAGAACATAATTGAAAATAACTGATAATTACAACAAAATGAAATCCTGAATTTATAAAATCTACTATGCTCTGAAAGCCTGTAATTTTAATATAGCTAATGGAGATGTAAAATACATTTAAAACTGGAAAATCATTTCTGTCAGGAAAGATTTATTTATACGGCACACTGGCACGGCTGGAGGACGAAACTCACATATTTCATTATGTCTGTATGCAGGTAACTAAATTAAAAACCTATTTACATACACAAACCCCAAGCAGGGAAATGTCACTTACCTGTACCGATGTTTATAACTTATGGACCCAAACTTGCTGAGTTTTCTTGATAATGAATTTGACTCTGTTTCTGGCATTCTAGTTAATTTAAAAAAAGAAAACCAAAGACTTGTAAATACTAGTACTTATACAATATATGAACACAAAGCTATACAGGAAACTATTTCATAGAGATAGTCAAAATATTTTCCGTATTCTACATGCTAGGAAGAAAAGAGTCAGCAATTATTTTAAAGTTTATGTTTAATTATGTGTGTGTGTTTATGCCTGCATGTACGTGCATGTGAGTGCAGGTACCCACGGAGGCCAGAAAAGGGCATCAGATACCCTGGATCTGGAGCTAAAGGCGGTTGTGAGCTGCCTGACACTGAGTTCTGAAAATGCTCTATAGGACAGCAAGCTCCCTGAACAACGGAGCCATGTGTCCAGATCAAGAACTGCAACCAGTTACATTTAGCTCAATTTGAAACACAACTCACTTTGGAATATTAAGTGCATAAACATCAAATACTCAGATTTTCTGACATTCTCTAGGAAAGGCTAATGGCAGTTTACCATGTTCTTTCTTTTATTTTCTTGGGAATTCTGTCACCATTCTAATTTACCCATGTGAAGGATAGATGGCAGCTAATCACATTAGATGGTGCTGGGTCACTCTTTTTGTACCACATATTCCAGCATTTTCCATGTTGTACAATGTATTCCAGTATTTTCCATTTTGTACAATATATTCCAATATTTTCCATGTCAGGGCACTCTGAACAGACACCAGCATGGAGAGATCCTGGGCCAATGAATGTGAGAAGTCTTAGACTTCTGGCTCACTTCTCTCCTCTAATAGGCTTGTACAAACTGTACAAAGGACAAGGCCTCACTACGTAGCCCAGGCTGGCCTGGAACTCAGAGATCTTCTTGCCTCTGCCTCCCTTGCTGGTATAGAAGGCTTGTGCCTAGAGGATTAGCAGTCATTTTGTGATATTCCCAATACAGAGAAAACTGTTCCACATAAAGAGTTTGGGAATAAGGGGAAGAAGCCAATCTTGAGTCAATAAACAAGGTGTTATCAGCTGACGTTGCTTTGTTTTGATTTAAACTTCACGACACAGGCCATAAAACAATTAACAACAACAATAACAACAACAACAACAACAATAATAATAATAAAGACTGTAATAATGTAGAAAGTGTACCTACAGAGCCATGTGTCATGGTACATGCCTACAATCCCAGTATGTGGGAGGCAGAGACAGGAGGATTACCCCATCTGCACTGAGATACCCCAAAGGTATCTCATCTTCAGTCCATTCACAGCAAAGCACCGAATTTCCACCCATGTCACACAGACGCTAGGTAATTCTGAGCTTTTTACATAAAGTTTCTAAAAACCATCCCTGAGTCTTTCTCACAGTGTGAGTGAAGATCTATCTGAACATAAGTGTGAACATCGACGTACACATACATATGTGCACAGATGTGCACTAATGCACTCAAGAGGCCGAGGAGCTGAGTAAACTAAGGAAACATTTCTACATTCATGGAACAGAATACTTGTCAAGAAAATCAACAGAAGACAAAACGTTCCATTAACATACCTGAAAAATGTGTGGTGCTCCACACTGCATTTCCAGAGGTGCTTGCAAGCAGTTTTGCTCCGAGCTTCAAAAAAGAATGAGGTTTCATTACACTGCAAGAGACAGAGAACACCGATTACTGGTTGGAACGCTCTTCAGATGGCAGCCCTCCTTCAGGGAACAGAAACTCAGGTAACAGAGATTAGTGCCGAAAGATAGCCATTTTTTGGAAGGTTACATTAAAAATTACTTTCCATGCCAGGCAGTGGTGGCACAGGCAGATATCTGTGAATTTGACACCAGTCTGGTGTATAGAGTGACTTCCAGGAGAGCCAAGGCTACACAATAAAACTCTATCTCAAAAAAACAACAACAAAAATACTTTCCACTGACTACAATTATGAAACATGACTTCTATTTAAATCTCAACGCAGTTACCTCCATAATCCAAGCAATGGCACAGGAAACCTACAAGACTGCCCATCATAAACAGCCACTGTGCACACAAAAACATTGTGGAATTCGGCTCCTAATAAAGGGGGAGATGTCCACACATACAATGCTTAGCCCTACTGCTTTCAGAAAAGGAGAAATCATGCTTAAACTCTGTCTGAGTCTCAGGGAGAACCAGTGAGGGGCAGCCTCCAGCGCACTCAACCAGCGGGTGGATCAAATTAAAGTACATGACAGATGCAGCATGTCATGAAACATGTACAAAACTCTTTAACTGCCATTAATCTAGCGGTTATTTGATATATAAGAAACTAAAACCACATTAAAGGTATCTCTATTTTGTGTGTATGTGAAATGCTATTTTAAAAGACTAAACAAAATATAAAGCAAAAACCAAATGAGCACCATAGGCCCTATGAAGTTATACAGTGATAATTCAGCTTCAAATTTACAAGTCAAACACCAGTTTTGAACACAGCAAACCTTGTCGAATGAGCTTCCTATGGACTCATAAACACAGTATCAGCAGTGCACAGGAGTAACTGGAGTATCTGTCCACCATTTTAACAAGGAATCTGACACTGTCTACATACATGAAGTCCTCCCAAGCCCAACTGGAATGACTCTGCCAACTCAGGGATGTATTTGCAAAATGTGGACATGGCAGAAGTGTGGCCACCGTTCACATTACGGCAACGTTAGCTCCATATCAAGACCTTACAAAGTAAAGGAAGGACATTAGGGCGATTCTCAGGCTCTCTGTTTGGGTGTTACCATCAGTAAACAGCAAATGGGGAAAACTGGAGAAAATAAGCAGTAAGGTCAGGACAAGGTGTTAATGCTCATGGAATGGCAAGTGAGCCAGAACATATGCGGGTGCCCCCGCTCAAAAGACAGGTCAACAGGCGCCCGCTCAAAAGAGAGGTCATGCTGCTCACACAAGCACTGCCCCTGAGAACGCACAGATGGCCAGAACAGAGGCAAGTGTTAAAGGTAAGTCAATGCTTGTGAGATGGGTCAAGATGCACCAGGAGACAATGTCAAAGAGGCTGGGGAGAGATGTCTCAGGAGACACAGGAAGGTCAAGTGGGTTTCAAAGACAGTTACTGTTTTCCACAGTGAGACTCTCTGGTGGCTTCTGTGCACAAGTTAGAGATGAGGAAAGAATTTAGTAAATTTAGAACGTCTTTTCCTCAACAGCAAAAGCACCTAAGGCTGGAGAAGAACAGAGACTGGAGCCGGTAAGAAAGCTCAGGCTCCCGAGATGAGATGGGAGTGCACACAGAGCAAGCTCTCTTCCAGTTCTCTTTTCAAAAGCCGTGTGTGTGTGTGCGCACACATAGACACAGAGACACACACCACACTCACACACACACACACACAAACACAGAAAGAGAGAGACAGAGAGAGACAGAGACAGAGAGAGAACACAGGGTACACAAGGTGGATTCACTATTAACAATTCAATCCCTCCCTACTGCCACTGTCTCCAGATCTGGCCACCACTGGGCTGTCGTAACTACAGTGTCCAGTGTCCAGGTCACCCATCTGAGAGTTTGCCTGTGAGTAAATTCTACAGGGGCAAGTCCTTAAGGAAAGGGGACTAACAGGACAGGCTGCCTGTCCCTCTGCCACTCAAGGATGGCAGCACCAGGCATGGCAGTGAACACAGCCTCACCACCTGCTGGACACAGTACTGAAGACACGACCTCTATAACACACATTTCAGCAAAAGCATCCATCAAGAAGGTATTTAAGTGCCTAAGTACCTCAAATGTTCAAAATCTTTAATTACACAGAACCTAAATTTCCAAAGATACCGAGGAAATTCTAAATGACTCAGTCTTTGAAATAAAACAGATTCCCTCCTAATTTCAAACTTCCCTTGGGTTGTTTTTTACTTTATCCTTCACATGTCTATATTATTTCTCCTTTCTTACTGAAAGACGTCAAAGGATGTCTAAATTCTTAATATATATTTAATCTATCATCACTAATGAAAAGATAAAAGGTACTTCAAATCCAACTGGAATTTGGGGTTTCTCATTTTGGGGCACAGACACAGTAGAGGAACCCAGGAGCCTCCCACAGGCCCTCCTAATTACTTCTGCCATGAGCCAGTGCAAGTATGAACTCATCCCCCGTTTACAGAAGGCTTCAAACAAGCTGCCTATTTTCTTTTGCATTACTGACAGAATGACTCAAATACCAAAGGAAGATTAATGTTACTGAAAGCAGAGCCAGGTATTCTGAGTAAATTCAGGGTACTTTTGGCACGTGCGGCTGGCACCGATGTGCTGACAAGGCATTTCTGGACTGTTTCAGGGTACACACGGCCACTCACGTTTCCACTCCTTCCACTCAGAAGCTTGATGGAAGAAAGCTGCAAGCCTCTGAGTACAGCTGAAACACGCTCCCCAGCATCCCCCAGCATCCCCCAGAATCCCCCAGCATCCCCCAGCATCCCCCAGCATCCCCCAGCATCCCCCAGCATCCAGAGCTTGCTGAATCACTCAAGGGCCTCTAACACTTCAGTCGTTCATGCTGCAAGCAACGCTGCTGTCTGGGTCTGTTCTTTTACTTAGTAAGTTAACCAAGCTTAAGTCACTTGTAGCTAAGATAGAACGTTGGTGCCACTGTTCCTGGGGTCTCTGATATCCACAAATTCCCAACCAAGTACCTTTCATCTTCTAGGTGTTTCTAGGTGTTTCTGTTTATCGTTGCTGGATGTCTTTCTTGGTGAGCTTAAGAATAGGTGTGTGTGTGTGTGTGTGTGTGTGTGTGTGTGTGTGTACGCGTGCACAAATGGCTACTTTGCTGGCTTCTACTCTGTGCATTGTCACTGCTGACAGGATCACTGAAGTGGTTTACACTGCAAGGACACAGCCACTTAGGCGTCCACTCCATTTTCACTGTCCCTCAAGTCTGTGCTTCTTGACACAAGAGCCTGTGTCACAAAGTCCTGTGCTCAAACGGCTTCTCCTTGTTTCTGTGGAGACACAGCCACAGGTGGGTGCCCTGTCATTTCTCAGCCCCCTGGAATTATGGGAATAAGCATATTCACAATCCTATTAAACAATTCCCACATCTAAGGTCACTAGAAGCAACCCAAGATAGAGGGCATGGGGGTTAGTAAGATCACTCAGTGGGTAAAGGCCAACGACCTGACTCCATTCCTGGGACCCACGTGATGGAAAGAGAAAACAAACTCCCACGACCTGTCCTCTGACCTCCACATGTGTGCTCGGGCACACATGTACTCCCGCACATACACAAACACTCGCATATACAAATTCATATGAAATAAATATGATTTTAAAAAGATAGACTGCATAGGCATAGGCCACTGGAGAGCAAGAGAGCCGTGTTTCTGAGTATGGTCAGCCATAGTTGATCTGAAAATACCCGAAGACCTGCGGCAGAGAGGCTTCCTACCAAGGCCTCAGCAAGGAGCAGGAGAGGCTCAGGAGAAGCATTAAGTCTGAAATACTATAGGTATTTTTGCACTCAATCTAACCAGATTTATGTAAGTATTTTGTACTTTTTTTTTTATTTAATGTCTGAGTGGCCCACTGAGGCCAGAAGAAGGCACCACATCTCCTTATAAACGGTTACAACTCATTATGTGGTTGCTGGGATTTGAATTCAGGACCTCTGGAAGAGCATCCAGTGCTCCTAACCACTGAGCCATATCTCCAGCCAGCTTTTTATACTTTTAAACTACTTTAGGCATGATGAGAGAAACAAAAAGAATAAGAAGCTTGATAACAAATGAATAAGATAACCTCCTTCTCGACTCTGGACTCTGACAGAACAAAGGCAAGCAGTGACATTGAATGTAGACATTCTTTGGTTGGAAACTCACACCAGATGTACAGGCTTTTAAGTACAGGAGGGGAGATCATCCTTTCAAATGGCTGAGACCGAATGGCTGCTGTTTTAAACACTGTACTGTGCGGCCTGCGGGAGACACGGGCGTGATGTTTGCGCTAATGATTTTCATTGTCTTTTTCATTACTCTTCCCTCAACGCTCGCCAAGTTCAAACCTGACTTTGTTAAATGCCACTTTTGTTATTACACAAAAAGGGGAGTCAGAGAGAAATGTTAAAGCCCTGAGTACATCTCACTTGTTCTTTCAAGCCAAGCTTCGTCCTTACATATTGTACTGCTGCCAAAGGAGTTTTAAGAATGTATATTTTACATACTCCAGTTTGAAAAGATAGAAAATACAAACACTTCTCAACATACATGGATCATGTAGAGTAGGCATATATGTTCACATCAAATATAAATAGTTTTGAAATATATGTAGCATAGCTCTGTTTGGCTTGGGTTTTTGTTGGTGGTGGCAGTTGCTTTTTGAGACAGGGTCACACTGTGCCACCCTGGTTGACTTCTACAACCAAAGAACTAAAGCAAGGGCTGGGGAGGTAACCTGGTGGGTAATGTGCTGGGATCTGTTGTTAGGAAACAGTCTAATGGCACTATTGCATTGGCTGAAGTGACGGCATAGACATCTGGTAAGATACAATGAGTTTTTAATGGATGAATTCCATTCATTCACGGTTAATGGTAGTTGATAGTCTTTGCTCTAAAATTTTTGCTCCTTTTGAAAAAAAAATATGGTTTAGTCTATTTTAATTATGGAGAAAGTCAACA